AACTTTTCAATTAAACAGACTTGCTAAAAATCAGAATCGCTTAGAAAAAACTTAGAATGAAATAAACAGGGTCTAGTAGCTTTACGTCATCCACACTCTTTACCTTCGCATTRATTGTTTTAACACTTTYAAAATAYAAAGTTGTTRRTATTACTAGATTTATGWTAAATCAACGAAMCACGTCAGACTGGGGTTCTAATTTCTTGACCAACTTTGTATCTGTTTCAWTAAACCTGTGTTTTTCTTTTTTCAGGTGCTTTCAGTCGTTGCTCAACARATTCTCACWATTCAGCGAGCTGTAATGGAGCAATTAGAYAAGTTTGTATTTGAGGGMACTGAGATCTCGCTCGATCCTACRTGTACCATGTTCATTACGATGAACCCGGGGTACGCTGGTCGYGCCGAATTACCCGATAATCTAAAGGTGAGAGTATCATTGTCATAGTCGTAATCATAAACACAGTCAGCAGGATATTTTTATGTACATCAGTATCCCTGTGTTATGAATAAAATGATGCTATTTCCAATAAAGAATGTTTTTTTCTAGGTGTTGTTTCGTACTGTTGCTATGATGGTACCCGACTACGCCCTTATAAGTGAAATAAGTCTGTATTCCATGGGCTTCGTGAACGCCAGGAGTTTGTCTGCGAAGATCGTCGCCGTGTACAGACTATGTTCTGAACAGGTTGGTATTGTGCTGAAAAAGTTAGCATGCTATGCAGAACATCGCTAGAAGTTAATTGCCTATAATATTCCATTCTACAGTTTCCGTCATCTTGAAAGGTAGTCGAGCATTGTAATCAAAGCGAGACAGAAGTTGAGCCTGCAATGATAGAAACCTGTGACTAATTCTCATTAGATGTAAACAAAAGGTTTCTATCACTGCAGGCTCACTTCTGTCTCACTTTGATGCAAAGGCTTGGTTACCTTTCAAGATGGCGCTTGGAACTGTAAAATGGAGTATTGTAATACAACAGACCCCAACACAGTAGACGGGAGAATCGTATATTTGATGTGCTGTCAGCGGTATCAACCATAACATCCATTGTTGTTTTAGTTATCATCCCAACATCACTAYGACTATGGGATGAGGGCCGTCAAGTCCGTGCTAACAGCGGCTGGAAATCTTAAACTCAAGTTTTCAGAACAAGATGAAGAAATCTTGATGTTAAGATCGATCATGGATGTCAATCTACCCAAGGTTGGTTTTGCGCTGAGTTAACTCGCGACTAATGAGAACTAGAATTTAACGAGTTTAAATCACTAGTTACAATATGCAACATTGTTAGGCAACTCCAGCCTAGTCCCCAGGCGTTCTTCGGTTTTAGTCTTACATGACGTCGCAGACTCTCGCGGGAACGGCTTTCTCTGCCGCTCACCTGCTCGTTCCAGTACCCGCAGTTTGCATGGAATGCCTGGGTACTAGGATTGGGCAAACTCTTCCGCTCTTTGGACTTTTATCATTCATGAAATTGTCAATTACGAATGGATTTTTAAGTGTACCAGAAGTCCATAACTATTTTTAGTCACATCACTGTACTCATCTGTTTTCGTCTTCAGTTCCTTTCCCAAGATTTGCCGCTATTCGAAGGCATTGTATCAGATCTTTTCCCTGGCGTGACGCTACCAAACCCAGATCACGGTATTCTAGAAGACGCGATCATCACATCTATCAAGTCATTTAAACTCCAACCAGTACCTTGGTTTATAGAGAAAGTTATCCAGGTAAATCACGCTTCATGATAAAAATTATTAACTTAAGAACATCTAGCGCAATGACCGCACCCTTTCTTGGGGGAAAGTTTCATCTGGTGGTCAAAAAAATGGGGGTCAAAACTGAGTTCTATATCCAAAGAAAGCTCTCCCAGATGAAACTGCATCGCTCGCCTTGAGGTGATGATCTGTTGATATAACTCTATATCTGTGAAAACAGCTCCCGCTTCCTGAACAACAGTTTATTTTTGTTGTATATATATTCATTATACATATTTTGTTGTTTGTGCTAAGGTGATGCGTAGATATAGCTTGTGTGTTCAAGAACTACGGTACTTTCGTGACCTTGCCATGTTGCACTGTATTTCTCGCCTATCTTTCCTCATTTAATGTTTTCCGATGTAAATGATTAATTGCTGTTTAATAGATCTACGAAATGATGCTTGTACGTCATGGATTTATGATCGTGGGGGACCCCCTGGGGGGCAAGACGTCCGCGTGGAAGGTTCTCGCTGCAGCATTATCACAACTTGGTTTAGATGACTTTTCTGATGAAGTTCCGGTAAGTTTGTCCCATTATTTGTTCACAATTTTTTTAGTTCTCGTTTCTGCAACACCATTCCAGTGGTGTCTCTTGTTTTACTTTTTTGAGTTTAGTTGTTCAAAGTTTTAATTAATATTTGTTAGAGTTAATCAGACATGTTTACAGCAGAAATCGTTGCATCGCGACCTCTTTGTTTTGAAGTTGGTCTGGATTTTGTTCTCTCTTTCAATCTGAGGGGCGGAGCTTTTCGAAAACTCGTTCAATCATTGGCTGATTAGTATCAAGCTCCGCCCCCAAGTCGCAGAAAAACCTAAATCCCAAGTATTTTCCTTGAACATCGAAGTCGCGATGCAACGGTTTCTGCTGTAAGCAATTATATGACAGTCCCCCTGTTTCATCATTTTCTACGGCAAAAGTTTATACGTACAAAAGTTTATACGTACAACGAAAAACGGTGGTTCGTTCTGTTTAACTGAGGCGTGCACCTGCCTATCCCATAGACCTTTGCGTTTTAACTAAAAAAATATGAAAAATATAAACTGTGCGAGGATTCCTATGCARCCCTCTCCTACTATCTAATGTAATTACAATTCTTATGTTTGTTTTCTAGGTTATGTATCGAATTATCAATCCTAAAGCCGTCACAATGGGCCARTTGTACGGTAGATTTGATCCAGTATCTCATGAATGGTCAGATGGTAAGAATTAAAATAAACATTGAATACAGCGGGGCGATCTTTGAAGCTTTGTAGAAGTTTGAAAATCACTGTGATCAAAATGAGTGCTCACCATTTTTTTGCACAGTGTCAAATTTCTTAAGCCTTCAAACTGCAAACCAATTTCAAAATAAAATTTAAATAATATTTTGTTGAAGTTTGTCGAAATTTTGCCTAAAGAGGTTCGTTTCGATGATATTATTAAGTTCCAATGTATTGTTTTGTTTAGGTGTGCTTGCGAACACTTTCCGAGAGCACGCGTCATCGACGACAAACGATCGTAAATGGATTGTGTTTGACGGACCCGTTGATGCAGTTTGGATCGAAAATATGAACACCGTGTTGGATGACAATAAAAAGGTAACTATGGTAATTGGGGCGCTCGTTCACCTCTCTGACGCACGTTTAGCACTTGAAAACAGTCACCTAATGATACCATATATTGTCTTTAGTTGTGCCTGATGAGTGGCGAAATCATCCAAATGAGCTCACGACAGAATATGATTTTTGAACCTCAAGATTTAGAGCAGGCGTCTCCTGCAACAGTCAGTCGGTAAGTTAAACCAACTCTTGCTCTGATTGGTCTATAATATAATGCGTGTTCTGATTGGTCAATAATATAATGCGTGCTCTGATTGGTCAGTAATATAATGCGTGCTCTGACTGGTCAATAATATAATTCGTGCTCTGACTAGTTAATGATATAATGCACGTTCTGATTGGTCAATAATATAATGCGTGTTCTGATTGGTAAAAAATACAACGCGCGTTCTGATTTCTCAACGACAATGAGCGTGCTTATACAAGAGCGTAAAGCAAGTACCCCAAGTCTTTAGTTTTTAAAATGCATTAAGTGCAAGTGGATTGCTGTGATTATCTATTGATTCTCATGTTGATTCGTCTTTTTCGATGTGTTTGTTGCTGGTGTGAAATGTTTCTTTAAACTACATTAACCCATACTGATGATCGTGATTTTGTCCTGTAATATAATACTGATGATAGTGATGAGTATTTTGTCCTGTAATATAATACTGATGATCGTGATGAATATTTTGTCCTGTTAGATGTGGTATGATTTATATGGAGCCAGTAAAGCTTGGTATTGAGCCACTCATAGCAACATGGATGGATAACGAGTTTCCTGCAAACCTCAATCACTCTCCTTACAGGGAATCAATCCAGGTAAAATGAACACTTGATATACTTTATCTTTTTATGAGAGCTGTGTTAAGGCCCGTTTACACTTGCGATTTTTGAAGCGCTATTATCGCGCGACAATCGCCTGAGTTTCGAACATGCTTGAAATTTATTAGCTGCAACTCGCGGCGATTTTCGATTGCCGCGACAATCGCAGGACTGTTCACACGTATGATTTGAGGTGCGCGAGAACATAGTGGCGATTGTCGCGCGATAATGCAAAAGTCGCAAGTGTAAACGGGCCTTAAAAAAGATAATTATGTGTGATAAGGTCGAGATTGCGTTACACGGCGATCCTTATTTGGCAAATTACCTGAGCGATCACGTTTGTAACGCTTGCGATTTACGCAAGTAAACCAGTTCTGCGCCTGATTCGGTCGTGTTTGGTTGTGTTGTTGTTTTCTCTGTGTGTAATGTTTCTCCAGCCACTTATATCAATATGAACCTACAGCAAACCGCAACTACTACATCATTTACAATAGAAAATTTGAACGGCAAAAATTAAGTCGACGCCTTAGTGTTTATTGAATATGAATTCATATTTTTTTTCAGATGATGTTTGACTGGTTGATGCCCGCCTGTATTGACTTTATAACCCGATATTGTCGTGGATTTGTAAAGATGTCTTCCATGCATATGGTTAAAGCTATGCTGACCTTGTATTCTTCATTACTTGATGAACTCAGGTCAGTCTGTGTCATTATAAATTGCTTTTTTTCTTATGACTTCGCTGTGGCCTCGATGATAATAGGCTTCTAAACCTTTTATGTCACTACATGATTTGCAATGCATTGTGGGATCAGTTTCTAGAGAAAGCAAGAGAAATCAACCATGTTCTGCCCCCAAACATATCCTACAATGCATTGTGTATACGGTACATGACGTAAAAGCTCCAGAGGTCTATTCATTGACAAAGGATTTCTCATATCTCAGGGACAAAAACTATTCCATAACCTGGACCCGCTCTAGGGGGTAGTGTGTTAGTGAACGCGGTACCTAGCACCCCAGAAATCAAAATAAGGGACTTTGATATCAAATAACTTACAAAATATAATTGCAGATTCTTTCAGTGAAGCACCTTTTAGCTATGTGCATCATAAGCTCTGTATTTACGACGACACGCTAAAGTCTGGTTCAAACGAGCGTCGAAAATGCACATGCATTAGTTCGCACGTTCAAACTGCAAACGCAATTGCAAAAGATAAAATGAAAAAGTTTAATTTCTTGCTTTTTCKTCACATACCGTAGACGAAATGCATTGTAGGATATCTTTGGGACAAAACATGGTGGATTTCTTTAGTTTTCTACAGAAACTAATCCCACAATGAATTGCAAATCTAGCAMGTGRCRTGGGRTGWGAGTCTGGAGTCCTGAAAGCCACCGCCGTTTGTTTTTTTGTCTTTTYCCTTACTATCTATTGTTCATACCAAAGCTCATTGTCTTTTTAAAATAAAAAGAAATAACTTCTTTCCTTTTCATGCTTGTATATTCATCATCCAATCTCTCCATTCCTCCAACAGAGAATCTCCAAACGATGCAAAGAAARCCAATTCAGATGACGATTCATTTGAAGACGAAGACGAAGAAGAACAAAGTGAACTCGCAAAAGATGAAAAACCRCCAAAATCAGAGGCCGAAGTMTTCCAATGGCTGCAATCATTGTTCTTGTTCTCAGTCTGCTGGTCGATAGGCGGCCATCTTGATAGCGATTCGAGAGAAAAGTTCAGTGATTTTATGAAAGTATTGGCGGCAGGAACAAATAAGCAGCATCCACGGTGCGTAAACAACAACAACAACAAACAACTCACTCGTGAATATACAAGATTCACGCGATGCTTAAGTATTTTTACGGACATAAGCAACGTTTTTGTTTGTTTTGTATCGTTTTTTATTCCCTTAAGTGCGAAGAACAATGCAAAACGCTAAGAAAAGTTTGTCACTTTAACAAGTCGTTATCGCGTAGTTTTAATTATTGAATAATAATCCGCCATCTTGAAACTAATATCAATACCATGATGCATTTCACTAAAGTAGTCATGACGTCATACAGGGAATGGACAACAAGTTCAATACTAATCCCTCTATTGTGTATTTGTAGACCCAAGGACCTCAAGCTTCCCAAGACGTACCAGTTCCCTGGGAAGGGATTTATATATGATTATTTCTTTGACAAATCGACGTTTGGTACTTGGCACCCGTGGGAGAAGAATGTGCCTGCTACAGAGATAGGTGCAGACTTCAAGGTACAACTACAGTAGTCATGTATCGTTATGGTGCGTTTACACTTGCGATTTTTGCAGTACTATGGTCGCGCGATAATCGCCGCTAGAATCGCTCTGCAAAAATCGCAAACGGACCTTTATGTACAGTCGTCATGAACTTCAATTCCAGGAAATAGTCAGAAAAAATGAGACTACCTTTTATGATAAAACTGAGCCTCAAACAATGGTGGTAACAGTTTGTTAGCGTAATAAATTACCGATGTAAAAATAAATCGTTATGCAATTCTCTAATAATGTCATTATTTTTTGTACTTTTTTAAAATATTGTATGTTGTTTTTCAGCCAAGCGACGTTATTATTGCCACCACCGAGACTGTTCGCCAGGAATATTTCCTGGAATTGATGCTAGCWCAYGAGAAGCCATTGCTCTTTGTTGGTCCAACTGGTACTGGCAAGTCTGCCATAACGAACCACTACATCYTAAGACTTCCATCYGATAGGTATGTTTTCACTAAACAATCAGTTGTACAAACAATCAAATTATCAATCAATCAATCGGGTACTGACACGGTCAATCTTGATATAAAATTACTGGTCAGATTATTGATCCGGTTTGATCAATCAATCAAGCAACCAAACTCCTTAGTGAATTATCATTCCATCTATCAACCAATCTATTATTAAAACAATCAATTAATCATTTTATATATGATTCAAGCTATAAGTCAATCAAACAATTCAATCTGCCACTCAATTCATCAAATAAGTCAATTATTTGATTCATATGGTATATTCTCTACACCCTACTAATGCCTAGCACATCTTGAAGGTACATCGCAAATTTTATGAACTTCTCTGCGCAAACCACAGCTAATCAAACACAAGACCTTATCTTGTCAAAACTAGACAGGTTAGTGAAGATTTTTACTGGGCTAGAGAAAGTTATTTTTTATTTATTTTTTATTTATTTATTTATTTATTTTTTTTTTTTTGGGGGGGGGGGGGGGCTAGAGAAAGTAGTGGTAGTAAATTTTATGATGTGATTGGTTTTAAACAGAGCACTTATATACTTTTCGGACCCGGTTAGTATTGACACCTCGCCAGTACGGTCACTTTACTCGTTAATCCGGCCACTGAAAGAACACTGTTTTTTAAAAAATAAGTGGTCGTAACCAGCGGGGTTCCGCTGTAGAAATAACCGTCAGTTTAAGACTACTGTTCCTCATAATGTGATTTTCAAGTTGATGTTTCATGATGATGGTTGTTAATGGTTAGCGATATTAAATTATTGTGACGGCTGCGAGAGGAAACTACTGACAGCACGAAACTTTATTATTTCCAGGCGAAAGCGTGGTACTTATGGTCCTCCTATCGGTAAAAAGTGCGTAGTGTTTGTAGACGACCTTAATATGCCCGCCAAAGAGAAATATGGTGCCCAGCCCCCCATTGAAGTATTACGTCAGTGGGCAGACCACAGTTACTGGTTTGACAGGTATGTCCTGTTTATGCGTCAGAAACGTTAACATGTTTTAGCGTCATTCCGAGTCTGTTCACTATTATTTTTGATTAAAGGCTTCTTTAAGTTCAAGGAGTATATTTTATATTGTGCAGTGTCTAGGATTTTAAAACAATCCAAAGAGTATTTATCACTACAACTTTTAGATTTCATTAGGTGTTGAATGGAATTATTCGCAATTTAATGACTTTGGTCCTCAATTGATGCGATGACAGCTAAAACATATACTGCTACTGATATACCTCAAATACAGCAATATGCAGAAATTATGACTTTTTGACTCATATTTCAAGTATATCTAAAATATATCACAAATTATGGGGTATCATCGCCAATATTTTTTTCAGAAAGTACTAGTGCTAGGCAACTTCAAAAAAATATTGGCGATGATATTCCATAATTTCTGATATATTTTAGATATACTTGAAATATGAGTCAAAAAGTCATAATTTCTGCATATTGCTGTATATAAACAGCTTTTCAGTTATGGAACTTCATTTGCCAGTTTATTTTCATTAAACATCAAGACATTCATGTGTTGGACGCTATTAGATCCATCTTCACATTCAATCGCTAAAGTCAATCATAAAACATCAAAAACAAAAACCAGCGTTCAATTCATAATACATGTAAATGAAATTTGAAGAAACTCGAGTTAAATCAGTTTTTCATAATTTTTAAAAACAGGTAAAGAAATTCTAGCAAGTGTTCATCTTGTTAAAAGTTATTTGCACGTATCTTCATATTGGAAGTTTTCAAATTTTTATATCTTCCATGTAAA